ACTTTGGTCGGTTATATTCCAGGAAATAAAAAATATCGACCAAAGTTGGTCGGTAAATGCTTCCCCTGCATTAACCAACCAACTTTGGTCGGTAATCTTAAATATAAATTCTTTAAATTTTATAAAGTATTTTAAATAATAAATATAATTATTAAAATTTTAAAAATTGGCCCACATTACCGATCAAAGTTGGTCGGTAATCAAAAAGTTTGTTTGACTAAGCAAGTTTGACCAGCTCGGTCAACTTGTTGACTAATTTACCGACCAACTTTGGTCGGTATGTAATTTAAAAAAAAATGTAATTTTTTTTTTGTTTTCGTTCATGTTGGACGGTTTTTTGGTGGCTTTTTTCTGACCGATAGGTAGCGCTTGATCGATTTTTAATGAATTTCTAGTGAATCAAAAGACGTCTTTTCATTGCAGCAGACGTAAACTAATAAACTAAGATATGGAAACTCGTGGTACTCAAATTATTGCGTCTATTTTTCAAGTTTAGCACTAACCAATGAGCATTTTCTAACGTAAAAATGTCAACTTCAAATTTAGTAGTAGTAGTAATTTTAACATAAATATAGGGTCGCCTTAGCATAGTTTTAGGAATATTTTTGTTTTGGACAAAAAGACTGGATGAGTCATCCTCGTACATCTGCTCAAAGCCATTCACTAACGGCTATCATTAAACCACAACCCAGTAAAATTTCACAAATGAGATTTATAGTGGGTAGAGTATACGCACACCTTACCCCTACTTCAAAGGGATAGAAAGGATTTTTCCGAAAGACCTCGACTCAAGAAGACGAAAAGAGTATATTTATATCTCTAATTAGAAAGAACAGAGTAAGATTTATATCTCTAATTAGAAAGAACATATCAGTATATATATAAGTAAAAAATAAAAAGAGAGAGAGAGAAAAAGATCAAACAGATTTCCTACTCAGTTGTAAACTTAAAATAATTTGCAGCAAAGAGTATGTGACAAAACCATTGATGCAATCATATTTTACCCATTTAATGTTATTACTCCCTCATGTCCACTTAAATTGATTTTTTGGTTGTTTTCACACATTAAGAAATACATCTTTTAGCATTCATTAACAATAAAATTGATCATATTAGCCTTATTTGTTATTTGAAAATATAACAAATACTCATATGCCCTTTACTCCAAGGGGAACTTTGAAAAAAAATAAATTAATTCTTAATTTCTTGATATTTGAAAAAATTAAGCATTATGGACCATAAAAAATAGCCAAAAGTGGACAGAGGAAGTATATAAACCCAATATTAATTTTAGGCCTACTTTTAACGAATTAACCCAACCATATAAGTTTCATATGGGATAAGGGTGGCAAGTGGGCCGGTCCCAGCCCTAAACGGGCTAAGTGATCTGGTCCAAACGGTCCCGGTTCCAGGCAGGTCCCAAATTAAACGGGTTAAACGGTCTTTTTGCAGGGACCGGCTCGGGACCGGGAGCGTTTGGTCACGGGCTAAACGGTCCTGGCCCGCGGGCTAAATGGGCTAAGTGAGCCCAACAGATTTTTAAAAAAAAAATTAAATAGAAATTAGAGACAAAAGGATGTTAAAAATAATATCTAAGTCTAAAGACAAAAATATTGTAAAGAGATATGCCTTGTAATTTTATTATAGCATTAAAAAATATATCAATATCTTTCTTAGTCTTCATCCCCCTATGGAATGAGCACAACAAGGTGCTAATACCACCATTGGGAAGAAAAAAAAACTAATCAAGATGTGCCAAAACACAAGTTACATAATACATACTAATTTTTGTTCATACAAGTTACATGGTATCTCTTACAAATTTCATAAATCTATCAAGGTCCGGAGGAATTTTCGTTGGTGGTGGCGGAAAAGTAGCTTGGTCATCGCCACTTCCGGGCGAAGCAACATCCTCCGCAAGTTCAGCTAGCATTTCTTCGTAAGTTTCGCCTTCATCTGGTTGTGATTCATCAAGTCCAAAATTTCTTCTTTCCGACCGGATCCAATCTCTGAAAAGTATTGATTTTTTCAAGCTCTCCCCCATAGACGCTCTATAATCACCGAGTTGAAGTGATTTTTCTTTGTCCTTCCACCATTCCAAAAGATTAAAGGAGCCGTCGGGATTCACTTCCTCAATTCCCTGCGACAAATAAACTTCAAGCTCATTTAGATGATTGAGAATCAGAAAAAGGAGGAGCTGGAACATTTGATCTAACATGATTTAATGCAACTTGATAAGTATTAAAAATAGTTTGAGCATTTATTCTAAGTGAGGTTATTGCTTCCGGAAGTTGAGTAAAAAATGGTCAAACGAGAGATGTTTCCGTCCATTTGCTAGGTTGTCTAGAAAAAGTAGGGGTAGTAACAGGAGTATCAGATGGGGCATTATTTGGATTAGCAGGGTTATCACTAGTTGGGTTAACATCAGGAGCAGGACTAGTTGGTGTATCATCATCCGTTTGAGTTTCATCAAAATCTATTTCCTCATTATCATTTTCATCAATAGTTGGATTAGAATAAAGAACATTCATTAATTCATGGTCTAATTGTTCACCAGCTCTAATATTATGGCAAAATTGAATTTCAGTAAATTGTAATAAACTATTATCGCTATCAAGAATAGGAGGTGTAGGACGGATATGGAGTTTGACTCGGGGAGCCCGGGGCAGTGGAGGAGGAACAAATTGAGCACTAGATTCGTCACTCTTGAATTTTTCCTCTTTTTTTACCAAAAAGTTTTTTTAAGGAAGTCATCTTAATTAATAAAGTAATAGAAAATAAATAAAACAAACAAAATTATAATATTAAAACTTAAGAGTTGGAACGAGTTTAACGAATTGACGAACAACTTATTGAAAATTGATTATCGTTGAAGATTTCAATTCACCAACTTCACAATTTTTTCACAAGTTGTAACAATAAAGTAAGCAATAGTAGCAATTATAGAAGAAAATTAGAGAGAGATTGTGATAGATTGAGGATTTTGTAAGAAAAAAATGAAAGAATGAGGATGTATTTATAGTTGAAAATAGGGAAAAAGTGTAATTATAAAAAAATTGGGATTAAAACAAAGCTGGGGGTTAAATGGCTATTTTATAAATAGCCAACAGTTATTTTTTAATATATTTTTAAAAAAAATAAAATAACCGTTGGGACCATTTGGCCCGCTAAGGGACTGATCCGGTCCCAATCCCTGGCGGGCTAAATGGTCACGGACCTGACGGGCCCAAATCATAAGACCGACCCATAAGACTGGCACATGCCCACTAAAATCGGGTCAAACGATCCTGACCCGTTCAACCCGTGATCCCGGCCCGACCCGACCCACTTGTCACCCTTATATTGGATCATGACCCCACGTTCAATATATGACTTGTATTTGTTTATGGAAAAATGCTTGACTTCTTTGGGTGCAAGATGTGTGAATGTGTCATCTTAATAATTGAATAATAAATGAGTATACGGATCTCTACTACCACTGCTGAAACTGAGTTACTACAACAACGTGTTCCATGTTTTTGCACTTCTTGGCCAAACAAGAATTGACACTCTAACTTAAGAAAACTATTGCATGAGACTGAGAGTTGAGGATCATTATTGATTTGCTGTAACTGTACTTTCTGCTGCTGCATAAATAGTACACAAAAGCACGTTGTGGACCGACCCTTTTCGGACCTCGCGCATACCAAAGCCCGGTTGCAAATTTTTTTATTTAAGAAAATAAAAAGTAAAGACAGAGGGACATCTAGAAAGAAAGGACAACAAGGAGAAGGCAAATGTATCATTCAGACTTGAGTACAAGAACTTTTGCATATCTACTACTCAAGAATTTTGTACGTTTGGACCCCTCCACCTTAGCACTTTAATGGCGAGTTTTGGCTCTGGCCTTCAATGTNAGGGATAAAAGAGGAGGATTAAGGTAGATAGACAATTAGAGTAAAACTAACCAATTTATAGATAAATCTTCGCAATATATTCTAACTTGCTTTGAATTAAGGGATAATTATTGTTGTCTCGAAATAGTCATTATAACATGCTAAAATGGTGACAATAAACAATAGAAACATTTTCAACAATATGTTTTTCTTCTGCTAAGGATCCCACTTTCCTTTGCTTCTTCAATTTTCACTTCGTGAAACTGTGTTTCAGAGGAAAGACAGAATGGAGGACACCTTCCTCATACATCATCACGTTACCAATTATTAGAGCATCGAAAAGGTAGTTTTATATCCTTAATTTTGAATGAAACTACTGGAAAAAGACATTAACTGAAAGCAGAGAAAAGAGTGAATATCCTTTTTTTTAACCTTCTTACCCAGTTGTTTCAACCCCCATTAGTTGCATCACATTACCCCCAAATATCATCACTAGATACCCTGTAATCTCATCAGAACAACGTAAATGGATTTGAAAAATTTATTAAATATCTATAACTGTTTGAATGTAAACACAATTACTATTAAAAATTTACTCGAGATCGTTGCAGGAACCCATAAACATTAAATACTGAATTCGTTCTAGGTCTCGTTACATTCAATTTCCCAATTTCCGTGGCTATGTGGTATTCTAGTACGAACATCAAGTAATCAACATCAAACAACCCCAACCGACAAGACAAGTTGAATCAGATGATATCACCACCCCAACTCTAAATCCAGATTTACAAACCTCGTTTAATGCAAAAAAAAAATTCATTACAACTCTAAGATCTCAACTACCGCGTATGAGACAAGACTGGCATATTGATTGCAGAGAAACAAGTTCCTTATTGTAATTCGTGAGAAAATATGATTTAAACATATTCAACTTAAGCAAAAACCTAGGAAAGAGTTGTGAACCATTCCTGATTCCCTGAAACTTCATTTTCTTACTGCGTCTGCTACAAATGCAGAAACACAAGTTTTAACTTTTCACTCATCTGATCGCAGAAAGTTTTTTTTAAAAAAAAGAAAGGAAAATGAGAGACACCTTCGAAAAACAGAGTAAAAAGGGGCACATGATAACATAAATTCATCATTTTAAGCTTCAAATACAGAATCTTTTACATGTCTAATACTACTAGTACTAAATTATTCATGAAATTTACACAAAATTAGAGTTATCTCGTACAATCATTAATACATTCATACAGCATACCCTTCAACTAGAGTCGGCTTCTCACTTACTTCCTCTTCCTCATCCTCTTTCACTTCCTTTTTCTTTCTGCCTTTGCCTCCAATCTCCAAACCCTGCAACCCTTCCACACACGATTCACCGCCTTCCGGCAGAGATGGCTCACCGACCAAATCTCGGCTGTTTTCCTCATCCTTAACACCGTCTACAACCACCACATCAGTTGTCCCTTCCGGCACTTCACCGCCGCTGCCCTTCTCAGTAATGCATTTTCCTGGATTTTCCTCGATACCCTCAGTGATTCCTACAAGAGCATCCTTAGAATCTTCGATTGGCGATGGAGTCAGCACACACTGGCCTTCGGGTTCGTCTTCGTCGTCCGATGCTGAAATCATAGATCGTACGGCAGTGGCGGCTTTGAGAAATGCTTCTTTGATTGATTCGGGTGGCAGTGCACAATCTTCGAGGCCTGCGTCTTCGAGACGAGGTGGTCGGATTTTGTCGAGCAAACTCTCGGATTCCTTTGTTAACTCCATTGTTTTAAAAGCCCTAAGTCTGTTGAATTGGAACACTAATGAGAGAATCGATTGTGAGTCGAGAATTGTGGACCACTTTATCTTTTGTAGAGGGCGAATCGGTACGTGTCGCCGTATTCAAACGGTCGCATGTGCTGACATAGGACACTATGTGCCTGAACCGACACAATTTGTCGGTTAAGAGTCCGAGACCCGAATATATCGTGAAACCCGTAGCCCGAAAAAAAATTTGAACCTATTAAATTATATGTTAATTAATAAATTAAGGTAAGAATATATTTTAACTAACTATTTAGTTTTTATTCCCCCCAACTAACTAGTGTTAAGTTATAAACAAAAAACCGGTCATGCATTTATTATTTTGATAGAAGGATGCTTGAGTCCTGATATTCATAAAAGCCACCTCTCAGTTATCCCAATATATACTTGAAGAATTAACGTTTATAGAGTAATAGTGTAAAAGATTTTAGATATTTACAAATAATTATTTATAATTAGTAGATATAGTTATATGAAAAATTTGACATAGCTGTAGATTTTCGAGAACATGACTCTTGATAGAAAAGTGTGGAGGTCGAGCATCAGGTTTGTAGGCTAGGACGTAGTCGATATTTTTTCTACTTCGAACCGGGGGTGAAGTTAGTTTGATAGGGTTGATCTTAGATGGCTAGTGGTTAATGTTGTGTTCATACTATCCTTTTATTTTTCATAGCACCGGGCTTAATTACTGGTTATTGTCATTGCATGTCATCTATTTCCTAGTTTTTATGATATTATTTCTATGGTTTTCGTTGACGGTACTGATATATTGTCTCTTCTCATTTATTTTTTCGTCTTCTTGAGCCGAGAGTCTATCGGAAACAGTCTCTCTACGTTAAATCTCCTCGATTAAGAGAGGAATTTGTTGAATGGCAGCAGAAATGAACTAACGGAAATGGAGCTCGAAGAGGAAAACTGATTGAGAGAAGAACAGAGAGAAATCAATTCACATTTTGCTAACTCAGAAATGAGTTCTTACACTGACAAATATACACGTCGCTACTAACCTCCACTAACTAAATCGGTTAAATTACAGCTGGCTAACTATGATGTACACTAACTAACTACAGTTAACTAATAGCTGACTATGGTTAAGTGACTTTAGTGCATGCAGTATCCTTTACACCCCCCCTCCCCTCAAGCTAGGGGAAATAAAGACATTTTTTATCCCTAGCTTGAATACCAAGTAGTTGTATTGGCGAATTGTGAGGCCTTTAGTGAGGACAACAAATGGTTGGTCAGAAGAAGCCAAGTAAAGGATGTGAACTAGGCCTTGTTGAACTTTCTCTCGGATGAAATGACAATCGATATCGGTGTATTTTGTGCTTTCATGAAAGACGGGATTTGCAGCAATCTGAATAGCAGATTTGCTGTCATAAAATAAGGAAACTGGCACCTGAATGTCCACGGGAGTTAATAGCCCAACCAACCACACAATCTCTGCGACAGTAGAGGCCAAAATCATATACTCAGCTTCAGCAGAGCTTCTGAAAATAATGGACTATTTTTTTAATTTCCAGGACACTAATGAATTTCCAAACTTCAGTAGGTAGCCAGTGACAGAACGCCTGGTGTTAGGGCAAGCTGCCCAATCAGCATCATAGAAGGCACTTAGATGAAAGTCAATTGATGACATAAAGATCCCTTACCCTGGTGCCTACTTAACATATCTCACTAGACGTAGTGCAACTTCCAAATGGAACTGCATAGGCAAATGGATGAATTGGTTGATGCATTACACAACAAATGCAATGTCAGGCCTAGTAATGGTCAAATACAACAATCTCCCAAGTAGTCTCTAATAAGGACAAGGATCATCATGAACGCCAAGTAGATGTCAAACTCAGTAGTAGTGAGCTTTTGATTGAGCTCAAAAGGAGCACCTACAAGCTTTGCTCCAGATAATCCCAAGTCTGAGATGAGCTCAAGTGCATATTTTCTCTTATGCATAAGTATTCCATCTTTGCCTCTTGCAAACTCTATTCCCAGAAAATACTTCAAGGCACCTAAGTCCTTGATCTTGAAACTCTGTTGCAAGCTGGCCTTAGTTTCTTGAATAAGAAGGGAGTCATCGCCAGTGATTAATAAGTCATCCACATAGACCAACACCACCACAATATTGCCAGCAGACCTTTTAGTGAATAAGGAATAATCTAGGTGACTTTGAGTGAACCAATAGGACAAAAGAGCATGAGTAAGCTTGATGTTCCATTGCCTTCAGGCTTGCTTGAGTCTATACAAAGAGTTGAGCAGTCTGCACACCTGAGACTTACCCTGTGGATGAATGAATCCTTGAGGCAAGTTCATGTTAACCTCTTCATCTAAATCTCCTTGTAAAAAGGCCTTGTAGACATCCATTTGATGAATGTCCCAATGCTTAGCTATTGTTACAAAGATGACTGCTCTGACAGTAACCATCTTAACAACTGAAGAGAAGGTCTCTTGGTAATCTAGACCCTCTTGTTGACTGTAGCCTTTGGCAACTAACCTTGCTTTGAATCTTTTCATCTTTCCTGAAGCTTTACATTTAATCTTATAGACCCACTTGCATCCAATGGCTCTTTTGCCAAGAGGTAAAGGATCTACATTCCAGGTTTGATTATCCTCTAAAGCTTTAATCTCAGTCTGCATAGCTTCAATCCATCCAGGATCTTTGATTGCTTGAGCATAACTGGTAAGTTCTACTTCAGCAGAGAACCTGGTAATGAAGCTCTTATAAATGGAAGAAAGTGAAGAATAACTCATCACATCTGATAGGGGATATAAGCAGGTTGCTGCAATATGCTTATTACCAGGAACAACAAAGTCCTTGAGCCAAATAGGTGGCTTGGAAGTTCTAGCAGACTTTCTGATGGCTGAGGATTCAACTGCTGAGGATTCACCTGCTAAGGGTGAATCTTGTGATTGTGTCAAAGTCATAGGTTGATCACCAGGTGAGTTTGTAGAAACAGGTAAAGTAGGTGGTGACAATGTAGTAGGGATCAAAGGAGGTGCAAGTGGTATAATTGTTGCATGTGGCAAAGCAACTAAGAATATTTCATCTTCCATAGGCAGGGGAACTGATCCTGTGGTGACAGACCAAGAGTCTTGTCCTGCAAAACTGACATAAAAAGGGAATATGATTTCATGAAATTGAACTTCCCTACTGATAAACACTACCTTGTTGTCAATATCAAATAATTTGTATCCCTTTTGAAATGAACCATAACCTAATAAGAATGTCCTTATGGCTCTATGATTGAGCTTGTCCTGCCTAGGGAGCTTAGAAGCATAACACAAGCATCCTATGATTCTCATGTATGACAATGTTGGTACCTTCTGATATAATAAGTCAAATGGTGACTTATTTCCCAGAACAGTGGAAGGCACTCTGTTAATAATATATACTGCAACCTTTACCCATCAGCCCCAAAATCTAGCAGATAGATGTCCTTGAAACTTTATTGCTCTTGCAGTTTCAAGAATATGTCTATGTCTCCTCTCCACCATCCCATTTTGTTAGGGTGTGTATGGACAAGAGCTTTGATGTATTATACCATGCTGGCTAAACAATTCACCACAAACTGAGTTAAAGAACTCTAAGCCATTGTCAGTCCTAACAACCTTAATTTTGCATTCAAATTGATTGAGAATCATAGCAATAAATGCCTTAAGCACACCAGAAACATCAAATTTGACATGCATCAAAAATATCCATGTCCACCTGGAATAGTCATCTACCATAGCAAGAAAATATTTCATACCATCATAAGTGTCAACTTTGTAAGGCCCCCACATATATAAATGAAGTAGTTGGAAAGGAGCAGTAGCTCTACTAGTACTATGCTGAAAAACATTTCTAGTATATCTAGCTAATGGATAGACACCACAATGATTTAAGGAAAAACTATACTTATTTTGAAAAACAGGAATTTTTCTTAAAGCTGCCATTAGTACATGGCCCAATCTCATATGCCAAATCTCTGGATCTGATGCTGCTTGGACTGCAGGATAACCAATTATCTTATAGAAATTTTCTTTAAGATGCCCTTTCATATTGCACAAGTCACACCTTATGAGCTTATAACAATTTTCATTTGTGTGTCCACGTATATGGCAGTAATCACACTCCAAACTATAGTTCTTCTTCTGTTTATACCATGTATTCTTAGATGTAAACAAGGTTGTAAGACCTAAATTGTCAGAGACAGCACAATGTACTCTAGCTACAATTTTCTGGCTCCCATCTTGAAGAATCATTGCGTAAGCCTGATTAACAGTTGGTATTTTCGATTTTATCAGTATTTGGCTACGTGCCTGACTGTATCCTTCGTTCAATCCCATCAAAAATTGCCATAAGCGTTGGTACTGCTGGTGTTCAATGTAATCTTTTGATTTATCACAACAAGTCGGAGGTGGCATAACTGAGTCATATTCATCCCAAAGATCTTTTAGTTTCGAGTAGTACACTGATACAAATGATGTTCCTTGTGTAAGAGTGAAGATTTCTCTGTGCGAGTAGTACATTCGCGATGCATTTACTTTGTCAAATCTCTCACGCAAGTCCGACCAAATTGCATGTGCATTGGATCGAAACAGCACTCCACTTAACAGATTCCTGCTCACATTGTGCATAATCCACGATTTCACAATTGCATTACACTGATCTCATATGTTCACATGCTTTTCTCCATAGGTGTCTCTAATGATAGATCCATCGACAAAACCCAGCTTGTTGTGTGTGAGCAGAGAGACTTCCATTACTTGACGCCAAAAAGTATAATTTTTCATTCCAATCAACTGAAAACCAAGTGACAAAGCATTCGGAGTATCAGATGGGTGCAAATATAACAGATGATTGTGATCAATTACATTTAATCCTCGTTCAACAACTTCGTCAACCGCCATTGATGAAAATTAGGGTTTCAAGCAAAACACGATCAATCTCTCGTTCTTCACCAGAATTGCGATAAAGGACCCTAGATTTGATCAATTATTGCTCTGATAATGTGTTAAATCTCCTCGATTAAGAGAGAAATTTGTTGAATTGCAGCAGAAATGAACTAACAGAAATGGAGCTCGAAGAGGAAAACTAA